TCTTTCGGTTTTGTTCTTCGACTGCGCGCCGGTGAGATGGAGTGCTCCGCTGCCTTCCGATGGGCGTGTCTTCTGCTGCTGGCCACGTCTACTTCCTCCCTGTTCCTGTCCCATGAGAATGCCTCCTTGACAACAGCTGACGAAGGGGTTGTCGAGGCGCTGAACAAAGTCGTTGAGGTAGGATGGTATTGGCAGCAAGGATAATTATGATGACGATAATAGTTAATGATGATAATAAAGTAAATGATAACGATGACGATGCTATTAGTAATGATAACAAAAGTAGTGATAATGATAGTGTGTGACAACATCAATAGCAGCAGCATTACTACTGCTATTTCTGTGCTATCATTACTATTACTGCTACTATTAATATTAATGATAATAACAAAAATAGCAACAACGATAATGATATTGATAAAAAGTAATGGTAATATTGTTCTTCACGATCATAGGGAAGAATAGTATTACCTATCATACATATCTATTATATATTGGTATAGTAATAGAGTTATCATTATGAATTTTATCATTATTGTTCTCATTTGTAGTTTATTCTTATTGCCATTGATATTACGACCAGTGGTGCCTTCCATTTTCTTTTATGTTTATAAGATAATCAATACTACTCGTAAGTTATCTTTTTTCTTGCTATTATTATTATTGTCATTATCATTATCATGATCATGGATATTATTTTTATCATTACTATAATTACTGTTACTGCTACTATCATTTTTGTTATCATTATTATGATTGTATTATTATCATAATACTGTAATTTTCATTACTGGCGTCATTATAATCATGATCAACGTCATTATCAGAATCATTATGATCGTCATCATAATCATAATCATTATCATCATGATCGCCATCATAATTTTCATAATTATAATTACTATCATAAGCATCATCACCATTAGTATCCTCATAATTATAATCATTATTGTTATCATCATCATTATTATCATCATCATTATTGTTAGCAACAATAGTACTAATATCATTAGAGTCATTATTATTACTACCCTGTCATTTTTAGCATTATCAGTGTTATTGTTATCATCATTGATATCATCATTTCAAATATTATTATTAAAATTGCTGTTACTATTCTCATCATTATTGTTATCAGCATCATTGTTATGATTACTATTATTGTCATTATAGAAGTAGTATCAGCTATATCATTATCAATGAGGATTATGGTAATTGTTATTATCACCATTATTATCAATATTATCATATAGTATATTATATTAGTTATATCATTATTAGCGTTATTATCATAATTATTGCTGTTATTATAATAACTACTATTATCATTATCATTACTACCACATGATCAACATTATCATTATAAATGTTATGATTACTATTGCCATCACCCTTATTAGTATAATCATCATTCTTAATAACATTATTATTATCATTATCATTATTAATATTATTAGCATTATTATTATTATTGGTATAATTACTGTTACCATCATTACTACAATGATCATCATTACTATTATTTCATTATCAGTATCATTAATATCAGTATGATTATAATTGTTGTTATTATTAGTATCAATATCATCATCATCATCATTATCACCATCGCCATAATAATAATAATAATAATAATGATAATAATATTAAACATCAGCATCATTATCATCATCATCGTTATTATCATTATTATCATCATCATCGTTATTATCTTTATTATTATCATTTTCATTGTTTTTCATTAGCATCGTTAACCTCATCGTTGGATCACCACGGTGTTATTACCGTAGTTATAATCATTATCATTGCAGTCATATATATGTGTGTGTGTTTGCGCGCACACACACACACACACACACACACACATACACATACACATATATATATCTATGTGCACATGCGCGCGCGCGCGCGCGTGTGTGTGTGTGAATCTTTGAAGCACGAGAAGGCGTCATTCCGCAATGCCAATAACGTTTCTCCGCCGAAGCAGCTAACCGTCCCCTCCCCAAGGTCCTTGCGAACCACGAGAGACACATGGCCTTGTACGAGCGCGTGGCCCTCCTTGAGCACGACCTTAGCCAGCGGCGAGAGAGCGAGGCCAGGCTGGAGGCCGAGGTACTTCAGCTCAAGTCGAGGGTCCCTGCTCTCGAGGAGGAGATCGGCACCATCCCCAAGATGCGGAAGGACCTGGCTGACTTCGAGGCCAAGATTGAGAAGCTGGTGCACGACTACGAGGCCAAGCTGTCGACGCTCGCCTCCGAGGTGATCAGGCTGAAGAAGAGCGGCGCGCGAAGGAAGAACCTGGAGACGCTCAGCGACCAGAGCGACGACGTCCTCCTGCGGACCGAAGGTGAGGGACTCTTTCGCCCTCCTCTCTCTATCTATCTATCTATCTTGTTCTCGCTCTCTGTCTGACTTTGCCTGTCTCTCTCCCCCTACCTTTCTCACACAAAAAATAATGGGCCGTCGTTTTTCTAAAGCCTCCAGTGTCAGAGCACTC